TAGTCTATTCACATAATAAAGTATTTACATCTTCTATATAATAATAATAAAATAAACCAACTCTCTTTCTCTCCATAAAATAAAATAATGATACTATACCTTCATAGTACAATGGTAATATTCCGCGGTACAAATGCGCTTGTCGAGCAACCTGGTGGAATCTAGTAACTGCAATGATGGGGCATCGGGGTTTATACTTCGAGATCAGATGTGCGGATCGACCGGATGTCGTGATAACGATGATGGCACTAGCCAAACATTTAACAGATGCTTCCACGGAAGCAATGGCAACAGCATGGGTGGCGTCAATAGGTGGCAGAGCTTTGCTCGACAAATCGTGAAAGATTTGAGTTTGCCAAATCGCGGCTTCCGCTTCTTTACAAATGTTGGCCATTGTGTGAACACATTCCAAGGGATAGTCTCCCTTTGCGGTTTCACCTAAAAATGTAATCGCAAGATTTATAAGCATTATCTTTAAAGATGGAAATTACAGAGAAAAAGGCTGTAAAATACGAGAAAGAGATTATAAATAACATTAAAAATATTTCTTTTCACTCTTTGTTTTGTATTATTTTGTCTCCTAAATTTTCGAATATCGACATATTAAAATGAATTACCTGATAACATAACGCAATCAGCACCATCGAGAATAGCATTGGCAACATCCGACGTTTCGGCTCTCGTGGCGCGTGGTTTTTTCACCATGGATTCCAGCATCTGCGTCGCGCAAATCACTGGCTTCCCGACCTTATTGCATCTGCTGATCATAGACTTCTGCGCTAGAAATACCTTCTGCGGGGGTATTTCTATTCCAAGATCACCGCGCGCCACCATTATACCGTCAGATGCGTCGATAATCTCATCAAGATTCGTCATACCCTGTTGATTCTCAATCTTCGATATGATCTTGATGTTTTTGCCCTTCTCGCCGAGAATGCCACGGATCTCGGTTAACGCGGCAGCGTTTCGAATGAAGGAGGCAAATATCATGTCGACATCCTGATCGACACCGAATTGAAGATCGGATTTGTCCTTCTCTGACACCGCTGGAAGATCCACCGGTACTCCTGGCAAATTCACACCTTTGCGGGAACCCAATGTACCGCCATTTTCAACGGAGGTCGAGATTAAATTGGGACCTAAGGAATAAAAAAAATTACACGGAGTTCTTTTTAATATCTCTCAAGATTGCACTAATATTTATTGGCGCGATATACTATATAAAAATAGTATTTTTTAAATTGTAGCTTGAAATTAAAAGGATCAATGTATTTTATACATTAAAAATTCATAAATAAATAGCACTTGAATATTATATTCTGAATTTAAATATTGATTGATGTTATCATAATAACAAAATTTTGTTGAAATTTATACACTGTATCAATTTTTATATTCGCATCCGAATTCGTAATTTGTTCAAATATAATATTTCCAAAATAAATGACCCGCATGTTTAAATACAAAATATTTAACAATCAAGTCGCGAAATATCACTTGTAGCTCTATAAAACTACAAGTTTTAGATATTTTAAATTAAATATTGATTTAATTATTCAATTAAATTAGATATTTAAAAAATATGCCACTCCCAAAAAAAGATAAATAAAATTGCAATAATTTTTGAAACTTACTAACGGCAGAGACGATGAGAGAGATCAAGCCGTCATCCACAAACACGCGATTCCCTACTTTCAACACTTTCGAGATGTTCTCGTAATCAACGTAAACAACTTGTGCATTTCCCTTCTCCATATACGCCTTGTCGGTGGACAGTTTAAAAGTCTGACCCTTGACTAATTCCACTTCAGCTGAGCCGCCCTATCGAGACAGTAAGTTGAAAATATTATACTTTCATTATTTAAATTCCTGTCTTTAAATATATATATATATATGTATAAGCATAATCAATTACGTACGCCTTCAAGGAGACCGGTACGAATTTCGGGACCCTTCGTGTCAAGAGCGACAGCAACGGGGATGTTGATGCCGGCTTGGGCGCTCAGATTCTTTTGCGCCTGGCGAACATTGGCGATAGTTTCCGCGTGATATTCGTGGGATCCGTGAGAGAAATTCAATCGGGCGATATTCATCCCCGTCGCGATCATCTTCTCCAGGGTCTCCACTGATCGGGATGCGGGACCAATCGTGCAGATGATACCGGATAAACGGACGAAGGACACTCGACTGTCGATGTCCAGGGCGCACATATGATCCAGTTGACTTTGAGCGTATAACGCCTGATTATTCGGCTTACCGGCCATCTGCGAAAATTTAAAGAAATCAGAAAGAGCTCTCGAATTGAAAAAAATTAGATAAAAGATCGGTTAGGCTTTAATTACAAGGCTTTGAATCTAGATACATACTAAGTATGCGTTATCCACATACGAATTGTACGTAGTAGATTGTGAATAGGCAACTGTGTGTGTGTGAATTAGAGCGTATAAATTAAATTTACACATTCATATGTTAAGATAAAGAGAAACAATATATATGAACAATTTTAATGTATCAATTATATAAATTTCGCATGCATAAAAAGAATTCACTGTCAAGAAAACAAAACCAATGTTTGGAAGCGTTAATTCTTTAAAACGTTCTTATGATCATCGCGTTAACATTATTCTTGATTATTTCATTCCACAAATAAACAATGTACAGCGAAAATATATTTCTCAGTACGAATAAGTGCCGCTGTTTCTGGCTGTGCGAAGATAGAATTGCATCGACAAAAATAGAAGTATTTCGCGTCGAGATGAAATAATTGAATGTACTGTAAGAGACTTTACGCTAAAGTTGCAACAGCCGTATTTTGTAGACGTATTTTTATTTTGTGCTAAATGCAGACGTTTAATATTTTTGATTTTTTCACATTTCATAATTACGAATTTAATTGTAAGTCCATAAACTTTCAATTCTTTGAGCTCAAATTAAAATCAAATTAAGTTTGCATGTAATTATATTTACAATCTGTATTTTTTTCATTCTTGATATGAATCTCAATTAAATTAGGAAAAATTCAGATTCGAAGAATCACATTTGACGCCTAAAGCACAAATTGTAATTGCTGCCCTTTATGATCGATAATAAAAATTTTTCGTTTGTCTAACGTGAATGTATCTTGAAGATATGAGAAATGTTGCATCAAGGTTTAATATCTGCAAAGTTTAACAATGCAGATAAGTTTCGCTATCGCGTTTAAGATAAAAGGCGGATGAATTCTATTTGTTGACTGATCATTACGAAGAATAGCATCGTGTTACATTATAAACGTCTTATCATCATCTCTATCGTATAAAGACAACGTGAATGACACATTTTCGTCTAATTTATTCAAAAAACTCGAAGTACCGACAAACAAGTAAAAAAAAAAAAAAGTTAGAAAAACGGCAAATTTATATACATATATACATACCTACTCTATTCATTTCTTTATCGCATTTACACCGAACAGGCGCTTATTGTTAGCAAGGTGACACGATTCTACGTCGCGTTTGCTGGTGCTCAAATCGTTTCTAATATCACGCAAATGTACACTAGAATGTGCGAAGCCTTGCATTGTAAACGACTTTAATTACGATTGCAACACAAAACTCTGACTCATATAACGTCGTCATATAATGTCGTCATATAACGTTACATCTAGCAAACCTTTTATATGTGTCAGAAAAAATATCACATCCAAGTAAATATTTCAATTATTTAGTACACCACGAGATCACAATATCAGTATCACTGTAATGTATTTAACAAAACGATAAGGGAAATGCAAATAATATTGAGAAAATAATAATCGTCATCATAATTGTCAAAAAATATTATAAAAATAAAAAATATTATAAGATAAGATCGTGTGATTAGAGTTGCAATAGAATGATAGAGTGTACAATTTATGTAACATTATATTACATCAAAAAGTATCTTTTTATCAATAAAAGCACATTCTACATATATGCGTCTATCTTTCACACCAAGATAAAAACAAATCTATATACCTTTTACACACCGAAATAAAAACTATTAGGCATCTATAAGCAAGAAATTCTTTAAAAGAGAAGTGAGTCTGTAAATCTCTCGAGATAAATCTTTGTCGGCAGAAACTAAAGCGATGTATCTCCTACAACCAATCCCGACTAATCTTACCTTCTCTATATAAAGACAGATTATTTTAGGAACTTCTTCACAGACACAGTTAAAGGATCTTTTAACGACAATACTAAGAAATTGACAATATTACGGAAGGAAGAAGAAAGGAAGAAGAAACGGTGCAGTTTGTGTTTTCAATACAAAACTCGAGGTTATCGCACACGAAATAACACAGAAAAGTTAGAAAAGTCACAATAACATTTCCGCGCTTCGAATGCTACGTAATATCAACGTCATATCTTATACTAGAATGAAAAAAAATTAATCAAATCAATGTCGTCGATCAATTCGCGCGCATGAGATTATTATGTTTAATACGCGTATTTAAAGTCAAAAATCTAACAAATCACAACAATGATGAATAGACACAATGTAGGTCCCGCACTTTCTTTATATTAATAATTCATATTACATTATAATTTTTTTTTATATTTTCCGGGTTGCGTTTTAAGCAGAGAAGAATGTACAAAAACGCGAGCGGATTTGCAAAAACCGTACATATAGCGTATGTGCATGCGCAAACGAAAAACAAAAATTCAAGCAGCCTTCAAAAACAAAAGAAAAAAACACATATATATCGAAACCATTGTAATTTCGGTGAATCAAACGCATCGCGTTCGCTGATACAGGAAATGCCTGGTACGATTGTCGTCGTCTTTCTTCCAACATTACAGATACATATTTAGAACATATTGGCTTAGTGTTCACCGAGATTACATTGGTCTCTCCCAATGAATTATCATCGCTTGCAAATCACACTCTTCAGCGAAGGAGGAGATATATCAGTCGCGAGATCGACGAGACGGTAATACCTGATCGTCGACGGTGATCCAGACCATTTTGGCGGGCTGCGCAAAGAGAAAACGAGAGAAGGAGATTAGTGACGATGCGTTTGTAATGACGATGTCGCGAAAACTCCATCCGACTGCAAGGGCCACGCGCGAATGCGGCTGCCGCCCGGCGTCGCCGACGAGGCGCAACGAGGTGCATGGCGTCGTCGACGACGACCGGAGATGCCGACGGAGTGGGAAACCGAGGATGCGACACATCGGACGATCGGTGACGATGCCCAGTGCATACGAAAGGCTCGCGCGAACGGCGCTCTATCAGCGCTGTCCGGGATCCGAAAATAGGATCACATCCGCTGGATGGACATCGCGTCTTTTCGAAATAATCCCTCGTGGACCGGGAACAGGGACATCGATCGGCGGAAAATGGCGTGAAATTGTTTCGGATTTATATTCAGGTCGGATGGATCTTTCTGGGAAGGTGCGTAATGTGAATAAGTACGAAATATGACGGTGTCTCGATGAAGACGTGTGTTTTATCGCAGAATTTATTATATAAATGGGAATGTATTTCATTAGAGAATAAAATTGCAAAAAATTTACTCTGCTATTGTGCCAATTTGAACTTGAAGAGCCTCTCGAAGAAATTGTACTTCAAATTCTAAAGCATCTTCTATTTGTTTTACAAATGTTTATCACGTACACGCGTAACTATTGCACACAATCGACAGCTGACTTCTAATCACAAGACTCCTGAGCGTTTCCAAGAATGATTCCGGATGCATGACAAGTATTTAGATGCATATGTTTTTACGTCATTTAGAAATTAATTATTCAAATGATTTTTCCAAAAGCGCATGGATTATAGCAAAATATTGAAATAAGTCTACGATTATGTCCTCTGCATGTACACTTTAAGTTTAAGTTTTTGCAATGAAAAGCTAGAAAGAATCTGGAACGTCTACTACGATTACAATATATCGATTTGATGTCGCCGAAATTTCATACTATTATAACATTAGAGGATATCAGATTAATTAATCAATTTTTCTCTGTCCTCCGTGAGAAAGATAATATTGGAAAAATTTTTAATTATATATATTGCTAGTTATTTAAAATATTTTTGAGTAACTGGCAATACATCTTACAATATTTACACGATTGATAGTCGACGAACGCTCATACGGCTTCTTTCTGTTCACCTTGATTCCGTTCAGAGCATGCGTAAGCACGTGCTCAAGCAAGTAATCAGCTGATAGCGCATAGCAGCGCAGTTTCGAGCTTGACCTTCTACGCATGACTTCATTCACTATGATAAAACAAAAATGTATATCTATATACACTGTATCAATCGTCACGACGCGACAACCGTGACATAATATATGTACGAGAAAAAGAGCTTATATTTTTATATAAAATAATTCTCACAAATAATGAAGAATTAATTTCTAAAAAATCCTTGAAACCCATTAAAAATTTATTTATAAATTACGTAGACTTATTTCTATTGCGTATATAATGTCTATCAGCCTCGATATTATTGTATCGTTACTATTCGTTGACAACGAATCGATCGTTGGAATTATGAATTTAAATAAATGAATTTCAATTGAAGTGATATACTATCGGTTCGGGAAACGATAACGCTGAGTAATTTTTGAGAAAAAAGGAAGGTCAGGATTTATCAAAGCGAATAGAAATAGGCTCGCTTTTATTAATTTCAATCTTTTCCAGACGATAAGGTACATTTTTTTCATTCTCTCTTCTCCGACCTTCTTCCTGTGAGAAGAGATAATTTCGTGTGTATCAAAACAGGAATTAGAGAGCATCATACAGTTCCCGACCTCCAAATGCTCACTATGAAGACCCTAGATTCTACAGAATCTTGAATCACACGATATATGTCAAGGAATGATAATCTTTTTCGAAAAAAAACTATTTACTTTTTTTCAGAAGAGAGATCTTAGCCGTTTATATCACATACGATTTACTTTATATACATGAATGATAATCAAGAGATTATTTCTTTTGCAGACAAAATTAAGAGATCGATATTTAATCAACCTTCAGCTCGACTTTTTCAATTTATGCCTATCATCTATTAGCCTGTTGACTACCAATAAAGCCAATGAGAATTTGCAGCCATTATTGCAACGCGCAATCCAATTCTTATCTTCCTTAAAAGTTAGATATGTGGTACAAATTAATATTATATAATGACTAATAGCTATACCTTTGTAGAGTATTTGTGTAATATAATCTAATAAAATGTAGACAAAAATAAAACCATGATAAATCAATATCCTTAAAGAGTTATATGTATGATGAGAAAATTATGGGAATATATAGAGAAATTTATTATCATTTTTTTTTAATCTCCAAAATGCATCAGAATATTATAATCCTAAATAAAAAAAAAAGTGTTCTAAATTTTTTGATATCTTTTCATTTACTAATTTGCTCTACCTACACGATACATACCCTATAATCTGAAAATCAAGATTGTTATAACAGAAACATATCGTATATTATCCCACGCAACGCGAAGGGACAAAGCATCGTGAGGCTGTCCTTCAGACAGACCTACAATGCCAAAACGTTGCCCATTAATTCCCCCTCCGAAAAATTCGAAGACCTTGAGCGACTCGCTCGTCGAAAATCCGGCCGTTCCGGAATAGAGGGAGTCTATTCGTACGGAAGAAGATCAATACCGGTGAGAAGGAATTATGAGGACGGTTGGACGATTACCTTTGTCTCGTTTGCCTGGTAAAAGCAGGAGGATCAACGGTAGTTTCGTGAAAGACTGAAATCAACAGCTACGGCAGACGGCTGGCAACGAGGCAGACTTCCCGGCGATTTGTGATAGACTGGCGTTTTGAGGACGCAGAAGGTCACCACTCCCTCTGATCATGCGTTCTGGGCGGGCAAGTTCATCGTCGACTGTCGGCTGATTTTCATCACGCGATAGCATCCCTACCTGCCGGCGGCTCGATAGAGAACATTTCTGCCGGCGGATCGATCAGAAACGTCCCGGTCGAGGCGAGGGATTCGTTGGCCGGATTGACCGAGATCCCCATTTTGACAGGTATGACGTCAGCATCCACACCTAGGGCGCCAAATATAAAATATTTAGAAAGTCATGAAGAATCCATAGATATAAATGTTTAGGAAATAGCAATCAAAATAACCGCTGATATCCATTTTATATTATAACAGTTTTCTTCAAATTAACATTAAAAACCTGAGACATAAAACTATGTAAATATTTAGTAATGTAATCGTCTAATTTAAATACAAGCTTCAAAGAGAAGCTTGAATAAATCTCGAGATCATATCGCCGAATTTGAATATATATATACTATAAATGGGAAGGTCAATGACGGGCTTCAATGAACCATTGATCCGAATCGCGACTTCTATTGCGTAAAATATAATACTCATGGATAATAGAGTTGCTAATAGCGTCACTTGAAATAATAACTATATTTCTTATTGATGATTTAACCGATTTGAAATTGTAAATAAGCAGTTGCAAATTAAAAATGTCAATTTAAGAAAATTTATCTCATTAATTGATGGGTAGATATAAAAAATTTTTCGTGTGTATTGTCTCTTTTAAAAAAATATTTAAGGGATGTGCGCCTAAAGAGCATTTTGGATGAGAAACAGATTTGATACATTTGCAGGTACAAACAGTTAATTGAGGATCCAAATAAGAATTTTAATAAAAGTCTTTTAATTGAAACATGGTCTAACTAGTGGTGTGATTCATTTTTTACAAAACTCGTGTCAGCTTATCTACTCGTGACCTATATATACCAATAAAGCAACCACATCATGTATTGCCAGTATCTCTAAGTATATTTATATTAGATACACGTATGTATCTTAAAAAATGATATTAACTATAATGATATACAGATAAAATGTTTCAATAGACAAAAATTTTGCGATAGATTCATGAATACAATCGCTATAATACTAATGTGAATCCATATCCCGATGAAAATCTTTCAGAAAACTCTGAGAAATTTTATTATTTATCTCTCTATACAACTATAATAATACACTACATCATAGTTTTCTTAAAAATAAATATTTGAAGAAAAATTTTGTTTCAATTATTTTTGCAAAGAAGATAATTAATTTTATATAAATAATTAATGTGTATTTCTCATACAAAGTCTATTAATTTAAATTGTGACAGAAAATTTACCTGAACACATTTTACGATTTGATGACATTGAAATTTTACCCAACATCTTCAAATTGCGTGGCCTGTATGATGCTGTCCACTGGTGTTAGATCGCAGAAACACTCCTTCAAGCAGATTTATCGACCACGATTTATGCAAAACGAATCTCTTATATAAAATCTCTTTTCCATCTTCTAATCTGACCTAGAATGAAATTAAAATATGTTTCAATATTATATTGTAATATATTGTTTAAATTGTGCTGCAAAAGGAGCAAACATTATATTTTATTTATAAAAATATTTAAAAACAACATTAATATAGTAAATATAATGATCAAATTTTTTAAGAAAATTTTTCCATTATCAATATCAAAAATAAAAAAGTTAATTACGAAAGTAAAATCTACATTAATTAAATTTTTAATTAAAACTTGACAAAATATTAAAAAATCACAAAAATGTTTATTTAAAAAATTATATTTCAGCAAATTTGTGTGTATTTACGAAAATGTATTTAATATTCATATTTTTTTCTTGTATTGTTCTATTTAGAATATTGTAATGTTTTAAATTATAATATTTTATATCTAAATTTTATATCTATAAATATATTTTTCATATAATGACAAATTGATTTAATTCCAGAATATTAATTAATCGATATATAATTAAGAACTAAATTCCATTGATAAGCACAAATAATAAGATTGTTATAATTTATTATTTCACGATACGATGATTATTTTATTCTCATTGTATTATATATTATATCATTTTATTTATTATAAAATTCTAATACATATATGTGTATATAACTAAATGTGTATATAAATAAAATCTGATAACATCACAAACTATACTATGAGTATAGTACTGTTTTTATATATGCCATATGCCATATGGCATTGTGCGTGTGTTGAATGCGCGTGCGCGTACATAGAAATTTTAAAATAAAACTTTAAAATTAAAGTTAATGTGGCAAATTAATGATGATTTTACATTCAATCTAAAATAGAAATTTGAATTATTTATTTATACAATTTTATTTACTATATATATA